CCTGACAATTAAATATTTGTCTCCAGTCTTTGAGAGGACCTAGAGGTGGAATGATCTTCTTCAAGAACGATCCTGTTTTGGGTGTTGATTTAGAATCTGCGATTAACAATGCTGTTTTCCCAGGCTTGCAGGTTAGTTGGACTTCCTTTTTGCTATATCAGCATGCATGTGAATGAGATCTGATTAGTTTCTTCTTGGACTTACTGTTTAGCTTCTAGGGTTATAGTTCTTTTTAAGCAGCAAAATGACAGGCAGTGAGTTATCTTGACAGGGTGGTCCTCATAACCACACTATTGGGGGACTTGCAGTCTGTTTGAAGTATGCTCAGTTGCCAGAATTTAAGGCTTATCAGAACAAGGTCCTCCCTTTTCCTTTCATTGTTAGGACTTTTCTATCTCAGATTATTTTAATACCGCGACTATGTATTGTAGGTGGTTGCAAATTGTAGAGTTCTTGCCAGACGATTGATTGAGTTGGGGTATAAATTGGTTTCTGGAGGGAGTGATAACCACTTGGTCCTTGTGGATCTAAGGCCTTTAGTAAGTTTGATCATATATTTTTTTATTTTTCATTTTTTAACTCTGGATATTATCACTGCTTATGTAAATTCATTGGGTATTTTTCTCTGGCGTCTATATCCTGATACTAAAAACTAGAGATATAATTCCCATATCAATTCATTGTGTTATATGATAAGTCGGTCTTTAGAAAAATTCTGGGTATTAATTATTTATGTATATTTTTGTTGTTCTATGTTGGTTGGTTAATCTGTGCTGTGCATGGGATAAATTTAAACAGGATCATCGAAGAATGATAGCACTGTAACATGCAATTTTATATGAAGAAACAAGAAAAAATGAATCATAAATTAGAATCTGAAGGCTGCTCTCTCCTCATGAAGGCACACCACTGCACCATAATGTATAGGGATCAACTTGATCTTGTTTGCCAAGCTAAGCAAGGATTAAGTAACATTTACTTTCTCAACTCGGGGTATTGACGGTGCTCGGGTGGAGAAAATTCTTGATATGACATCCATTACTCTGAATAAGAATTCAGTACCTGGTCAGTTTATACCATGCAACTTCATCATTTGTATGTTTGTCCTTTTTTATGTTTTTCCAATTTTTTCCTTTCTACTTACTCATTACTCTAACCATTGCAGGTGATAAAAGCGCACTAGTCCCAGGTGGCATACGCATAGGGACACCTGCTATGACTACCAGAGGTTTCAACGAAGATGAATTCATGTCAACCGCAGATTTCATTCACGAGGGTGTTCAGATTGCTCTTGAAGCAAAACGATCTGCTCCAAGTTCTAAGCTCCAAGATTTCATAAAATTTGTAGCATCTCCAGATTTTCCTTTTATGGATCGGGTGTTAGATCTGCAAAGAAGAGTTGAGGCAATGACAACCAAGTTCCCATTGCCTGGTTTACGAGGGATTTAGTTGGACTTGAACAGTTCACATTCTTCATAAGAAAACAGGGATGAACTTGCCCAATGTTGTAAGGGCTGCGTTGTTAGAATGGCGTAATTAAGAATCTTAGATTATGGATTTTGGATATTGGGTTAACAATGGTTACATGCTATTTTGTGTATACTAAGAGTATTGCTTATCGTGAGAATAATTTTGTGGAAACAAAAGTATTTGGAGTCATCTACCCTCTCTCTCATTTATCAGAACTGGCAAGTTCTTATTTTAGTTTACGAGAATTCTATTTGGATTTAATTTAGGGACTTAATTCAATGTAACCATTGAATCAAAAATGGGTTTTAACTAAGATTGGAATTTACTAATAATTCTTGCATTGAATTAGATTCGATTAGGTCCATATAGTGTTGCTCATTTAGTTTAAGCCGGGGGTATTTGAACCTAATAAAAGTAGAGGTAATTGAGCTCCAATAAAGCGAACCTCTAAAATTATTATTATTATTTTTTTTTTAGGTGTTCAAACGTGCGTTAACGATCATGTTTATACGTAATTTCCTATTACTTTCTTTGTACATAATTCGCTAGAGAAGAAAGATGGTTTTGTAAAAAAATATTTTTGAAGTTAGAGAATATTTATTTATGATTAGAGATTTGGTAAAATGTTTTTGAAGTTAGAGAATATTTATTTATGATTAGAGATTTGTTTGTACTTAAAAGCATGATTGATTTTATATAGTACTCTCGAACTCGATTTGAAATTGACATAAAATTAATAAATTTGATTTTATGTTAGCTTATTTGAATGATAAATAGATGAACATATTAATCCTGTCAAATAAATGATAGAGATAAATTTAATTAAAAATAATTTGAATATGCCAAACATTATTTATATACAACACAAATTTGATACAATACAAGCTCAGTGATATACGACTTTAACTAGTGTTTGTTGAACAAATATTGACACAACACGATTTAAACACAAAAAAATCTGGCACAATAAGATCCATTGCCAACTAAATTTGGCAGAAATTAATGAACACTAAAATTGAAAGAATTTAAATTCCTTGAATTTCTGAAACAGCTTTTTGTTCTCAAAATTTAAAAAACACTCAAAACCTGTTTGTTTAGCATTTTTGTTCTCTAAATTTGGAAAAAAAAATGAGATTTGAGTCAAAGAAACAGAAAATAAGTGTAACTTGTCTTCAGAGTTTTCTTTGAAAATTTTGGAAATAAGAAGAACAATATATATACATATATACACACACACAATATATATATAAATAAATAAATATATATATATATGGGTATATATATTTATTTATTTAGTTATATATATGTATATTTATGCATGTATATATAAAAACATATATACGTATATATATATTGTGTGTGAGGGGTGTATATATATATATATATATATATATATATATATATTGTGTGTGAGGGGTGTATATATATATTTAAAGTTTGGTTTATTGAATTTGTCAATCTAAAAATATTTTTTTTATATTTTTTTATTAATATTTAAATTACTGTTCAAATATATATTTAAGCTATCCAAACATGTTTTACTATTTTCTGTATTGTAAAATTGTTTTTGAAATCATCTAATCAAATAAGTTTTTTATCTCAAAAAATATCAAAACCACTTTCTTAAAATTTTTCTCAAAAACTATTTTCGGATACTATTTTTTGAAACTCAAACCAAACAGGCCCGATGTTTTATTAGTTTTTTTGTTCTTCAATTTTTGAAAATTTTTGGGAATTGAAGTATGATTTTAGAAAACAATAAAATAGTGCTCTCACTATTTTCTAAAGCAAAATGAAAACATGGGTTCATCTCCAAATTCATGAGGTCTTCCCTTAAAGTTTGTTGGAAACAAAATATGGTGACTGAAACTTCTTCTCCATCGCTCGCTCACAACTTTCCCTCTCTCCCTCCTTCTCTCTCTAATTTAGCATCAAATCTGTGCATGTCTGTGTGCGTAAGTGAATGTATATACACAAATTGCGAACACCAGTAGCATACTCTCTCTCATGCGACTCATTTACTCTTTCTCTATCTCTCTCTATGGGCAATATATGTGAGTGTGTGGGTTTTGTGGGGATCTATGTGTGTGCGCGCGTGATGGTTGTGTGTGTTTGTTGTATGTGTGGGTGTGTGTTTGTTGGGTGAGAAGATAATGGAGAGAGAGAGAGAAGGATTTTTATAGTGATATATGTTTTTTTTTAGGGCAGTGATAAGTTAAAAATTAATTTTATGGATCATTATCTAAGCAGGTTTTTTTATTTTTTATTTTTTAAAATTATTTTTAAATAAATAAGTTTTGTAATATAAAAATATCAAAAAATATTTTTTTAAAACTTTTCTTAAAAATTATTTTCAGATATTGTTTTTAGAGATACTAATCAAACAGGGCCGAAAAATTCCTATGGGCCTTTGTTCAAGTGATAAAGGGGCCACAGGTTGTGTTGGGTAACTTTTACTGAGCCCAAGTAAAGCCCACTTGGGCCTCATCATCTTCCTTTTCTCTCGGTCTCTCCTACGAAATTTCTTCACTCGAAGTAACCAGCAGAACAGAATCACAGAATGCTAGGGTTTTAGAGAGGACGTTCTTCTCCAAGTTCCTGCAGCAAAGCTCACAGAAGGTTACTACCTAAACCAAACCCTAATTTCCTGTCTTCTAATCTTAGAAATCATTTTGATTGCAACGAAAATATGGTTTTTGTTTTCCGGAAACATTTTCTTTTGCTTTATAAAACTAAGATGTGCGTACTTTTAGCATTCAAAAGTAGGAGATTTGAAGCCATTTTTTCAATTCATATATTTTTTTTTGTTTAGTTCACCTTTTGTCTGGTTGCTGAGAAAGCTAATGGGAAAATGTAAAAAACAAAAACCATGTTTTGTGTTGCTATGTTGCTTAGCTGAGCGGAATAGTTTTAGGAGGTTCAATTGAATAGAGCTTTTTATTTAAGAGTTTCCTTTATTTTCCTGCACTTCTCAGCAACCATGCATTTTTTTTTTTCTTTCGATCTTGTATAATTATTCTGATCACATAAAAAACCACTTGATTTTGCATATTTCTAGTCATGGGCAAAAAGGGATTGTCGAAAAAATCTGCAAGAGTGCCCAAGAGCTCTGCTGTGGAGCAGGAGAAAGCCTCTTCATCTACACCCAAAGAGGCTGGTAGTGATTCTTTGTCTGGACCCAAAAAAGCTGCTAATGACTCTTCGCCTACACCCAAAAAAGCTGGTAATGAGGTTGACAAAATCTTTGCCGTCAAGAAGAGGAAGAACCGGGAACAGGAAAAGGCCGAGAAGCCGGCAGAAGATGCGTCTGCAAAAGGTAAGAAATTGAAGAGAAAGAAAAATAAGAAAAAAGATCCCATAGAAAGCAATGGGTTTGTGGGTGAGACAACTCAGCCAATGAAGAGAACTGGGGATGGGCTATCTCTATATACAGAAGAGGAGTTGGGGATTGGGAATGCAAATGCTGGAGGTACCCCTCTTTGTCCCTTTGATTGTGATTTCTGTTTCTGGTCCGGAGACTCATCTTTATTCATTGTAAGTTGCTTCCTTGTGATGAAGTTTTGGAAGTCCTGGGAAAATTGTTAGTTTTGTAATTCAATATTACAGTTTTGGTGTTTCAGTTTGTGAGGTTTCATGTGTGGTTTTCCTTTTTCAAATTGTAAACTAGGTCCAGTGTACAAGAAATTCGGCTAGAATACAACTATACAAGTCTAAAAATTATCGATCTGATGATTGAATCCATTAGTATTCTGGACGTGATTATTTGCAACTACTTCAGTGAATATTTTCGTGATTTTTGAGAAACTAGTTATGCAGCAGTTGCAGTGTCTCTGTTGATATTATATTTGGATGACTTCATTTTAGAGCGACTACATTTTGTTTGGAAGTTTACAATAGTGCATTCATTGCTTTCACTTGGTGTGGGATGGTTTTGCAAAATTTGAGACACATTTAAAACAATATTGTTCTTGTATGTTATGTGATGCCTTAAAATTATTGGCCAAAGTCCTTCATTCATGCAAGTAATCAGGTCGATCTTAGGGATGTAGTTGTAAGTACAAACACATAATGGTAGGAGCCTAGGAGGAAATCTGTCTTGTAGATTGGAACCCTAATGATTATGTGTTGTGGATGTTGCTTTTATGAAGCTTGATTTATCTTAATTCTTGAGTTCATGTAGATTCTTCAAAAAGCTAATAGTTCGTTTTATGATGAGATACATGCTGAATATGGTTATCACTCTAGCTCGTGGGAGCTAAAGTCCATGAACCATGTTATGAAGTTACGTAATGTGAGGCTATATTTTGTTTCTCCTTTATTTGGCTTCTTCTAGGATAGAAATTACACTCGGATCACTACTACTCTGTTGTGGTATTTATCATGGAATTTCCACGATCAGGTAGAACCCAACAGTTGTGAAATTCTGTAGAAATTTGATCCAGTCACTGCTTAAGTTTGTTGTGGAAGAAGAAAGCTTTTAAGGCATCAAATGGATTAAAGAGAAAAAGGGGGGAAGGGGGGGGGGGAGAGGCTTTTGGAGATGTTTTTAATATCATGTGATTGCATTCTTTGTTGTCCAATACGTTTTTGAATTTCTTCCCCATTTACCATATGTTTTAATCTTTTTACCTATTCTACCCTACTTTGAATCTTATTTCTCAACCTACCTTAGTTTTAAAAGCGTGTTTTTAAAGGCACACGTATTGTAGTAAAAGTGTGTTTTCAAAACATGTCTTTAGTCAAAATTCGCTTCTACTCATCTTTGATTCGGCCAGTCTCACTAGTTCCAGCATTGGATGACAAGGGGTTGTGGGTCATTGACTCTTCTGGCATTTTCGCGTAAATATTATTTCCACTTGTTGACTGATAACCCACCTTCTTCAATTTTTGAGCCCCATTGGATGATTTGGAAGGTAAAAGTGTTTGTTAAGGTGCAAATGTGTGATTTGAAGGTGGCTGCTCACTGTAAGATTAATACCTATGATTTATTTCAGGCTGAAGACCGAATATTTGTCTTTCTCCTCGACTGTGCGTTATGTGCAGGATGAATTGTAAAAGTGTGGGTCATCTATTTATCTATTGTCCTATGGCTTTGAACTTATGGAATAAGCTTATAAAGAGTTTACCTTGAGTTGGGTAACTCCCAAGAGATTGTGTTTAGTGTGGGACTGTGGTTATGACGATTACTTCGAATGACAATACACATCCAGTAAATGTTTCCAAACGTATTTCAAAATGTAACTATGGTGCTATCTGGATGCTTGTTGTGCCATTGCAATTCACGAGGTCACATTAGCACCCGAAGTTCACCTACTATATCATGAAGACTATTAGGATAAGTTGACTGGTCCTAATTGCGCCCAAACCCTGCTTTATGCCAAATGATGGATTGTCTGCAATCGATTGCATACAAAATGAGATGGATTTTAGAGAAAGACATACAACAAATCGATGCAGCTTGTGTGAGCAAATGGTTCATGATTGATGAACCTGTCCAGCAAGAGATCAGCAAGCCCCGGGTTGGGATCAGTGATTGTACCGGTGATATTGATTTTTATTTGAGTTTTTCTGTAATGTTTAAGTTCAGTCAATGTACCAAGTTGTAAACGTTGTATTATTCAATGTGTAATGTATAATGCTTTGTAATTATGTCTGTCACCATGATATTATTCTTAATTTTGTTAATTCATACTAGATATGGAGCATCAGCTGGCTCGTGACTTGGTCCACGCTGGACCTATTGATCTGTCAGTTTTGTACTTACAAGCAGAGCATCGGTCTACTACTATATGGGATGGACAGGCATGTTAATTGCATCAATAATTCCCATCTCAAAACTATTTAGCTTCATCATATACATGCTCATAAATACATTGAAAACTTATACACAAACTCATATTTGTTGTAGGACCTTCCACCGTTGCAGTGTCGTCGATCTGAGGCTACGTTACGCCGCTTACACGCTCCTGATGACAGGGTTTTACGTCGTGTATTGAGGGCTGGATTTTATGGCATTCATCGGATTGGTTTTATTCGTCTTGATTGGCACTTGGTGACTGCACTTATTGAGAGATGGAGAGTTGAGACTCATACGTTTCACCTTCCCGTTGGCGAGGCCACTATCACGTTACAGGACATTGCTGTACTATTGGGGCTTCCCATTGACGGTGCGCCAGTCACGGGTGATGATGCACAGCGCAGCGTGTCACAGTGGCAGGACATATGCGAGCGCTTATTGGGCTTCAGACCACCAGAGACTGCCATTGAGGGCTCCAGACTTAGGATGAGTGTGTTGGGTGCTCGTTTTGCTGCTCCCATACCTCAGGATGCTGATGACGTAACTGTGGATCGTTACGCCCGGGCATACATTTTGCTGTTGATTGGGGGATGCCTGTTTGCTGACAAGTCTCAAAATAAGGTGCAACTTATGTTCTTACAGCATCTGGAGGACCTAGATGATACAGGGAAGCTTAGTTGGGGCAGTGCAGCATTAGCTTGCCTATACCGTGAGATGTGTCGGGCCACTGCACCAGATTCGTCAGACATTGGAGGACCGCTTATTCTGTTACAGGTATTGGTTGTAGTGTCATTTATAATTTGAGTATCATTGGTACATTAGTGTGAAACATCTTTAGTGACTTATGTATCATTACTTTGCGTTGTAATAGTTATGGGCGTGGGAGCGACTCACTCATATCCGTCCAGATAGAGTAGTCCCACAACAACAGATAACATCACCAGCAGTACCTCATGATACACCGGATGAGGTAGATGTTACTGCTTCAGCACCATTTGTAGATGCCCATGTGCATGGCATGGCAAACGAAAATGATCCATTACCTGTTGGTCCATTGGGTTGCAGGTATAGTTATTGATTTAACTTTTTCAAGTGTTGTGTGCAAGTATAATAATCTGTAATATTCTCAATTGGTCTAGGTGGCATGTATCTATGTCTGATGTTCGCACGCCGAGGCACGTGCTTAGGTATTATAGAGACCAACTTGATCAAATGCGCAATGATCAGGTAGGTGATCACACTAATTTTTTTCCAAACATTTCAATATTGGACTTTGAATGATGACTTACATGTTATGTGGATTGTGGTTATTTGTAGATGATATGGCAGCCATACAATAAAGAAGTCCTAGCATTGTTACCACTATACTGTCTGAGTGGTCAAGACATGTGGATGACACGATCACCACTTATCTGTTTTGCTGTTGTTGAGTGGCATTTCCCAGATCGAGTTATGCGACAGTTTGGCCTTAAGCAAGGTATACCAGAGGCATGTGACACTGGTAAGGAGCTTCATGCTACGGACAGACGTGGGCGGTCCGGTTGTGATTGGAGAGCTGCTCATCGATCCTTCGTTGATAAATGGGAGCAACGTAGGGAGCATATTGTTACGGGAGAGGCATTACATCATCCAATCGATTTGCATGACCCCTACATGGTGTGGTACAACAGTATTACACGTCGACTTATTGGCCCTCCGATTGATAGGCCAGGCGTTGGATTCCAACCGATGGCTAGCATCATCGAATTGCTGGTATTCTATTGAAAACAAGCCTATTATTTATATGATTAGTGTAAAATATCTTATTTGATTATTTACATTTTTTATTTTACTACACACAGGAGCGTACGATCACACACATGTGCAACAGTGCACAAGATGCACTTGAGGGTGGTACGGATGTGACACATTATGTGCAGGCACTTCAGAATGTACGAGCACTTGGCTCTACTTGCTTGGAGGCTATTGGAGAGCAGCACCGTCTAGATCATCGATGTGTACCCATTCCACATGCATTGACCCCTATGCCAAAGGGTCAAAAACTACCACGACTGAGACGTCGGCGTCCACGCAGATCAGCAGACGTAGCCACATGTTACCCCAGATGTTGAAGCGGCCACAGCCGATTTAGCGCATCGCCTATCCATGACTGACATGCCACGACAACACAATGATAGCTTCTTTTTCAGACTGTACTGCATAGTACTACGCCCTGATTTGCCCATCTTCGACGCAGGCCTATTGACATTTTCTTTACATGATAGTTCTCCAGGTATGTTGCCCTACAGTGCCTACAATGTCGGATACACCACTGAAATTGCCACAATATGCACCAAAAGGTATCCATATCGAGGATGAGGCCCCTATGGAGAGAGTGACACCTCGATGCACTTACATTTGCTTGTGTGTACCATTGTAGAAATGGTTGCAGTAGCTGAGATCGCGGTCAGAGACAGGGTGCAGATACTGTGTTTGGTCCGAGTACAGTTCCACATCGTCCATGCAGTGGCCTTTCCACGCCCCAGTCATGGAGGTCGGAGACAGTGTGACAACTCACAAGTCATTTAGGGGACTATCAGAGCTAACTAGGACCGATGCTCCAGTCTCAATGCCCTAAATGACGGGAAGAAACCAGCTTGTGGTACATAGGTTTATTTCCCATTTTACTTTGTAATATAACTATAGTAGACATGTCTGCACATATGCAAATTACAGTTTGGGGCATTCTTTTGAACTTGTTTTAGTTTCTATTGTTACTGTTATTTGTTTGCATGTTTATTGGCATGTAAATTCTGACTTACAGGGAATTGGTCAAGTGTTTTAGTTGTGATCGATTTTAGGTTGAGGACAAACAGGGTCAGCGGGTTGTGGACATAATAACTAAAGGCGTGTTTTCTAAAATCGCCTTTCATTAAAGCTGTGTTTCAGAAATATGCTTGTAACCCATACTTTAAATTGAAAAATGTTCTTACCACAAGCATGGTTCTCTCCGTCTCTGTCTGTCTCTTACGCCTCCCTCCACACACAAACGTAATAATACACACGCACTCTAGCGCATGAGAATCGTAAGGAATGTGGTTCTGAGATCAACTTTTTTTTTTAAATCCTTTCTAATGAAAGGAAATGATAAAATAAAACGAGCAAATACCTATTCGATTCATTTTTTTTTTCGAGCATCAGGTTTACAGCGTGTTTTGGCATTTTAGTATGCTGCAAGAATTTTGGGCAGGCAGTGGAAATTTGGTCAGTACATTATAGCAGCATAGTTGTTAGTTAGTATCATATAACCGAAATTAGGAAGGATTCTGCTTAAGCTTTATATTCATCTTGAATTGTTGCCCTTGCTTTCAAATATACATCATTGGGTTAGGCTTTATATAGTTCATACGAAACAAAAAACTCTATGCACTGGGAACACCGCTTCCCATCTGACTATGATTGTCCATACACTAGTCAAAACATTTTCTAACCCACAAGCCATACATAAATTAGTAAGAACGGCAATGTTTGACCCGAGACATGTTAACACTGCATGAAATTTGTGAATTACGACTAACGCATATTACAAACTCGAAGATAACACGACCCTCTAATAAAATAATAAATAAGTCAGAGTAATGTTGAATATGAATAATTCGATTATGACATGAAAAATCATTTAACAATTATTATATGACAAAAAAAAAATGTGTCCTATTTATTTATTTCTCTATTTTTAGAAGGTGTTGTATAAATGCTTTTAGATTCAAATGATTTATTTACTAGATTTAGCATATGAATCGACTGAATTTTAGTTTACAGAGACCCGTGGATTGTGGATTCAGTATAGAAAAATGGTTTAAATTTTTCACGGCTGTCTTGTAAACCATTTTTGACACCTTTACAGCCACCATGCAATGCAAACAATAAAAAGTCTTGAGTCATGCAGAATAATCGATGTGGTGCATAGTAAGACAACTATGCGGTTAACCTTGATTAAATTTGAGTGGGTCCCAACAAGAAGGGCTTACAGCCCAGAGGAACAGAAAAATAAAGGAAAAAAATCAGAGGACTCCGGCTTTCATCTTGGGTTTTTACATGAAATTGGAAGAGGGGTTTCAAGAAAAAGACGAGCATGTTATTTGATGGGATTTTAAGTGGTTCAGCAGTTATAACTTGACACGTGAATAGTTATAGCCGTTATGAATTAAAGACACCGATGAAACATGGTATAGAAATACCGAACACCATTTATCGAGTCCAACATTAAAAAAAATATGACAACTCATTAATGACGATTTGAGTGATTATAACAAGGTCTTTAATAGGTCTCGTTGCCCTTGAGACCCTCAAAGACATTCATCATTACAATGATAAAAAATCACTGAAATTATTCTGAGTTCTATTTTTGTGAATTGTCTCTTTTGGTTTGGGTTTAATTTCGCCTCATTTATCTTTTTTTATTAGAAATAAGTGTCAAGTTTTTTCTTGATTTGTGTCTCGGTTTTATACACAAAAAAAAAAGTCTGAGTTTTGACATTGATCTTTTTATGAATTATGACTTTGTTCCCGTAGTAGGATACAAAAAGGAGGTCCATAGAGTAGTTCCCGTAGTTGGTCTCAGTGTTTTTTTGTCTATCCCTATGTTTTTGTCCTTATGGCCTTAAAAGGTTATGCCGCAAACTACTAGCCTACAAAGTTACAAATCAAGGACCTATCACCAAATTTCAATTCTTTTTTATTTTTATTTTTAATGTTTTTCCTTGCTAAAAATTCTCTAACGTTGGATGAATACACCTCAATCACGTCACTTCAGATCAATTTTTTTCAAACATATATTATTCACCTTACCCCCGCCCCGTTGTCATTCTTATTATTATTATTTTATATGTATATATATACATACATATATGTTACTGTGAATACAAATACAAGATGAATAATATATCTTTAAAAAAAATTGTAGTAAGTGATGTGAACACCCCACAATTTCTTATTTCTTATATAACATCTGCTTATAAAATTTTATTTACTAAACACCGACCGATTATGTGAATGAATACATTAGAATTGAAAAAAACACTGCTATACAGGGTCTAAAAAGATTTATAAAAACTGTTATTACAGTGTTTAGCAACTATTATCTGAGATCACCAAACAATAGTAATATTACTCGATTGCTATAGACAGTAGAATAACATAATATCACTCGATTGCTATAGACAAGAGAACAACGTGGCTTTCCCAGCGTGTAAAGAAATATTGATAGAAACGTGTATAATAATACATAATATAGTCATTGAGGATAAATAGGATATTGATAACAATAACTTTGATTAATGTAATGCAAATTCGTCAATAGAAGTGTTACATGTGTATACACCAGAATTGAAAAACTTCATGCAAATTCATTGTCAAATCAAAGACAATGCAACTCATTTTCAATTGCAGTTAAATGTCAGATCTTATCGAGCATCAAGCATTTGTTACAACAACATAGCAAATAATAATTTTTTAAATTTCAATTTCAATTTGCATTTTCAATAATGACTAAAAATTAAAAATAATATTAACATAATAAATAACAACTAAAAATTAAAACACCATTTTTTCATAATCTCTATTTTCAAATTATTTCAATATGTTACAAAAATTAAATCCATACTAATAGTGTCAATTTTCATAATTTTCTCCAATACTATCTTTTATTAAGCATAAATTGTTGTATCGTTCAATTTTTTGTTGCTCCACTTCTGCTCTTTGATTCCATTGATTATAATCTAATGATACTTTAACACCAATTTGCTTGTTTTTATTTTCAAGCATAAATTGCCGTATCAAAATTGTGAATGGTCGAGAATTCAATGTCATTTCTTAAATATAGAGTTGAATAATATAGAGTTGAATAGCAAAATTTAACATGATTTGATGCAACAACACAACCAATTGAATGAATTTTTGCTATCTTATTATTGATGAAATTATCGGTCCATTTTCAATATATTTTAACAATGCTCATATTGAAATGACAATAATTCAAACATCAAATCATATCTATCTAAAAAAAATTTAATTATTACATTATTTTGCTTAACATGTCCACTTTATGGCAATCTTTCAATTTGACTATAAAAACCATAATTTTAAAACCCGGCCCAAACATCAACCCAATAAACAGACCGGATTGTCAATAGATTACTGGTCAAACCAGTTATATAATAAAAAAAATATTAATAACAATAAATTTGCTAAAAATTTATAATAATTATTCAAATAACATGTTTAATCTATATGGAGAGGCAAGGGATACAAAGGCAGGGAGAAGTGAAGGGCCTTTCGTAGAAAGATGACTCGTTTTTGCAGCACTGTATAATTGTTTTTGTAACTTCAATTCAGCAGGAATAGGGCAATGGACGGTTCTCAAAGTCTTTTTGGTTATATTTAATATAAATCATCCACCTTGTATTAATAGAGAATTTCTCACATACAATAACCCAAAAAAGACAAAAAGAAAAATATATCACAATTTAATTTGCAAGTCAGAATATCAATAAGCCTCAGTAGTTTGAGCTCATAGAGGCATTTAGCTCTCACACATCTAATAATCTTCATCATTCTTGCGACCAACCCATATATAAAAAAATCTTCATATTTTTCAATACCAATGTTTTCAAAGTATTTTCTTTGGTCAAAAAAACAAATAAAACTCCATAAAAAAGAGGAATAAAATACAAAAATCAAAGAAAGACATGAATATACCCCACCGAAAATTTGAGGCATTTACAAAGTACTTTTCAACCTGATTACCCAATTATTTCAACCAACAACAGATAAAAAAAACTATGATTATCCGAGGGTTCACGTAAATAGGAAAATACAGATCGAAAAAGGAAAAAAAATGCCTCAAGAGTAGAGAGAATCAGGAGGGACAAAGAGGTTACTCGAAAGGAAAACCCTCAAGAGAAACCTCATAAAATATATGCAAATACATATAAATATATATGTATGTGTATATATATATATATGGTTGATATAGCGCAGCTATGACTCAAAACGCTTCCATGGATGAACGTGAAAGTCGATCTTAAGGGCTGCGCATATATATAATTAAGTATGATACATAGTTTGTAAGACAAAAAACAATTTGCTCTACCTTCTGCAAGTAAACTCACGCTTTCTACATCTCTTAGCAACCTCTAGGCCACAATGATCTGCAATCACCTATCAGACACAGCATTTTTCAAAACAAAAGACCAACAGAACTAATGTTTGTCCAATCCTCGTTGCTCGAAAAGACAATGATCTATAAGATTGGATTTGCAAGACACTAGCAACAAACAAACTTCACCCAAATCTATTAGTACATTGTATGCTATTCTTTAACAACGGGTAGAGAAGTCCTTCAAGACAAGAGAAGTTGGTAGGAAAAATGCTCAGAAGCCAAGCGTAAGAGTATTTCATTGACGATACAACACAAAGTTGAATCTTCTTATATTTTGGCAATTCATCACTGCACAAGTCTTCACTGTGGTTGATGTGTACAAAAAATGAAATCTTATTCAATTATTGGCACATGCCAAACACAGGATTAAACTTGAAAATTATGTAGGTATATATAAAGGTTAAAAAATGCAATTTATAACAAAGGCCACAATCAAGGAAAATAGCGCTTTAGGTTTCACCTTTGATTGATTTCTTGTGATTACTTAAAAAAAAAATAGTTCAGGTTCAATCTTTGCTTAACAAAGCTTCCCTCTCTACCAAATTTTGCTCACCAAATGACATAACACATTCACCCCAATGAGATAAATGAGTATATTATTTGCAATGCCTACTTCTTGGTAAATAACACAAATTCCCTAACATTACTCTTCAAGCCTAAACCCAACTATTCCAAAGATCATGAACTATAAAAGTAGAACAAATGATAATGAGTCAATAGTTTTTGGAT